CCAAATTGTCCAGGCATCATCCTGCGGCTATTAATTAAAATTGCACACATTTCTCTCCGGGCTCCCGCTTCGCTCCATGGCTATGAAAATTTAATATTGGCCCGGCAGTAAATACAGATGTTGGAGCCAAACTCACACACGGCCCGCAGCTCGTCTTACATAATCAGTTAAGTGGCACACATACGTTTGAGTGGCTCAATAGATGGAGACGGGCAAAGAGTTTGGTTGTGTGGATATAAACACGGAGTCCTCCAGCTGTTTTGGGTCCTGCCACACAACAATATGAAAGTGAAAAATGAGTTTGCTCAAGTTTTCCCCTTTATGGGAAAGTCGGAGAAAAAATGTTTTAGTTTCGCCTTAGCTGACAACGAAGTTTTGTTGCTCCAAAACCAATTTGTCTTATTGGTGGGGACGCAGGGCAAGATTTATGAAAGATGCTCCATGCAGCCAAAAGCTGCCATGTAAAACAGGTAGAGTACATACTGGGGAATACTTCTTATAATACCTTATTTCGGTGACTTAAAGTTATAGTTTGTATAGTTTTAAAAATCCCTAGTTAAGCTCTTAATTAGTATCGCTGATCAAAGGAAAAGACAGCTAGTGCCTGTGGCATTTCGTGTTGCAATTTCATAAACGATTCTTAGCAATTTTTAACCTTCGGCGAGCAGCAAAGCATTCTCCTTTTGCCATTTGCAGGCATACCGTGTACCTGCCGTTGCTCAGCTCCCGTTCACATGCAGGCAATTTGCTAATGTGTACGTGCAGGACTCGACTCCTGCCACAAGGAAATTAACCGACTGGCGGCGAAGGGTTGCCAGGATTGGCAAGCACGCAAGGACGCAGGGCACAATGCGATAACGGAGAGCATAAAGCAGACGAAAGCTGAATGCACAACAAGGAGATGATAAGTGGGCGTGGGCCGGTGAATAAGAGAGTAAAGTGAGTAAAGTTTGCACTGGATTCATAAGTTTTTCCCCAATATCTTTCTTTTCTTTTTCTTTTTTGAAGAAACAGAGAAATCGTTTCTTGTCTTGTTCGGGTCATATTTCCTACGGTCTTGGACCTGTGTGTCACTCCAGGGAAATTTTCGTAGCACGAAGGCAAAACGAAAAAATTGCTAGTTTCCGAAATTTCAGCTGCTTGAGTTCCCTGGCTGATTTTCGGTTCGGTTTTTCCGGCTTCTGGCATTCGTTCTGGCATGCAATATGCAAATCTAACTTGGCTGGGAACCGTGGGAACAGCTCTGGAAATTGCAATGCTAATGAAACCCCCAACATCGCCTGGCTTTCCGCACCTGAACTTCTGTGAGGGCTTCTCCTCTCACCTCTCCCAGATCGGAACCCTAAATAGGTGCTAATGCCCGGGAGAAATGGCCAGACAGCCGAATACTTATGTCGTTAACTTTTACAACCGTTTTTATAACTTCTCGGGCCATGATGTCCCTGCCGCGCACCACACATCACAGATCCTAGTTAGCATCCTGCAAAGTTTTGGCTGCGTGTTGGCAATTTATGCAACAGTTTGACAACATAAAAGTTTATTACATAACTTGCACTGCCCGAATGTTGTTTTGGTGCGGGGGTCACCCGGATGATGCTGGGACCAGACACTATCCATCTCATGGCCAAGCTTATGGCCATAAAAATACAGCCCCAACTTCGCTGACCAGGAGGCAGGAGGAGGATATCAGCCACAAGTAAAACTGTAATGTGCCCACATTTTGATTTAGTTTAGAGGATTTGTTGGAGTTGTTGGTAAGGGGAGACGGAGACACCTAGATGTAGGTACTGGCTCTAAGTGGCGCTTATAAAAAATTATGCATATCAAGTTTATGGCTGGCAGCCATTTCACACACAAATACACACACCAGCTCAGCAGCTCGGCTGTCTGCATATAACGCTGGTAGCCTGGAGTCTATTTCTATTTTATTCGCATTTTACTCACATTTATATATATTTTGTGCTGCAACAACACAATTTCCCAGCGCTCAAATTGCGAAATGCACAATGCAAAGATTTATTTTCTGCTGACAAACATAGCGTCATTTGTTGGTAATCGATGAACGAGTGCCCCGACTTGTAGACTCCTAGTAAGAGTCCTGTCTGTTTGTCTAGCTGATTATGCATATATGTACATATGTATATAGATGGGCGGCTGGCAATGAATGGCTCCGGATTATTGCTTAGTTGACAGCCCGAAGGCGGTGGCTGCAAATCAAGGGAATTCCTTGCGATCCCGGCTAATTTATTATCATTTTTACGACTAATGCAGGGCTTACACAAAGGCGGATCGAAATGGGACCGGGAAATGGAAATGGAAGTGGGATGGAAATGGAAATGGAAATGTATGCCATGCATAAATCATAACGGAGCTCTGCCTGGGTCTGTGTCTCTGTGCGTATCCTTTTGTGCTTGATTAACGTCAACTGTTTATGGTTATTTATTTTGTGCTGCATACTTTTTGGGGGCACTTCCTTCTCGCCCGGATTACTTCCGCTATTCGGCAGATAACCGGGCAAATTACCTTGGGACGCACAGATATGATTTCCACAAGCATTAAGCTTAAATCCTAAGCTAAACATTGTTTCTTCCAGACTGGAGTTTAGTCTTATTTGACTTTGCAAAACTTTCGTTAAGAAAACCCCCCACTTCCGGGGCAAACTTTTCAATTAAAAAGGAAACCAGGGAGGAGGTCACACAATAACCGAACCAGATTCCAGCCATGTGTCAAAATTCAGTGTCACTGAAAATCTCAGCAAATTGAAATTCCCCTCTCAGATGCCAACAATTTGGTTATATAAACTTTTCAAATAATTTATGCCATTTGGCGAATACTTGCCTAACGCCCGAACTTTGCGAATAAAAACTGAAATTCATGGCCAAAATGTCGGCAAAAAGGCGAAAATGTGCGATTACGCACTCAGACGATGTAAAAAATAAACGCTGCGAGTATAAAATAATAGAAAAAAGGGAATTAAAGGACATCAAAGTGAAATTTATGCGGAAACAAAGACTCCGGAGTCCGGACGGAGTCAAGACGAAGCTGTAAATTGGCAGCCTTTGTTTGTATGGGTGACACGCACGAAAGGCACAAAATACAAAACACAAGGACACATGTGCGTGGATTCGGTTTATTTTTTGGCAAACTGTTTAAAATTCTGCGTATGTATGTTACGGCGCCTGGCAAAAATTTCAAATGCCTTATTTTCGTACTTTTTTTTTCACTTTTTGCCATGGAAACTTTTGCGAATCGCAATAATTTTGCTTGAAGGCCGCTATCGTGTGTGTATACACACACTTATGCGGCGGACTATTAGCACATACACGAAGTCACACACACACACACACACACAACAGGGGACGAGAAAAGGGCAAGGAAACGCAAAACAAGAAAACCAAAATGGCAAACAAAACAAACACAACACAACACACAAAGCGGAATACAACAAAAATAACGGAAAAGGAATACTACAGAAAAAAAAGAATAGGAACTAGAGTAGAGAGTAGAGGGGAAAGTCGGAAGAGGAGAAAGAGAGTAAGCAAAGCGCCAGGCAAATGGGCGAGAAAAAAACAAAGCGACGACGTTGCGTCTGTGACTAACGGTCATTGATGAGAGGGGGTGCCTCGGGTAGTTCGGGTGGATCGACCGGGTGGTTCGGCTGCTTTCAGAGAGAGCGAAAGCAGCTTAGCGCTTACTTCATAGTTTACGCGCAGCCAAACGACAACAAGACTGCCAAATGCTATTGATTTTCTAGCTATCCACTGCCATCTTTCACTAGGTTCCCTTTCCCTGCCTCCTTCTGCTCTAGCTCCCGTTCTCCCCCACCCGGATCCGCCGATATCCGGAAAGGTGCGTGCCAAGGACCAGAACAGGAGCGGAGCCATAGATAGCCCCAGCTCAGCCGGGTCATCGCTGTGAACTCCGAAGATGGGCGCACAGACTACTACAAATCGGATTTGTGTGAGTAATTGGCACGTCGCATTTACGCTTTCTTCTATTCTTGTTTTGCCTTCTTTTTTGGGCCTACAAAAAAATAACAAAAACAGCCCAACAGGAAGTTGTTGGTGTGAAACCTCAGCAACGACGGGATGGCAAAAAAGTTGGGCAAATAAAAGCGCAATGGCGTTATATATGCCACAGTGCACACACGCACAGAGCAAAAAAAAACGAGGCCCACTTTTGCATTGAGGATTCCCTCTGGGTAATCCCATTAAAAGCATTTCAAACTGTTTAAAAGTACACCACGATAGTGGATATTGGTGATTTTTGATTCTAATTAAATCGAGCGAAATGGGTTTCTGCAATAATTAAAAAGTGTTCCCTTTCTTTATTTAAATTTGAATCAGTTTTAAACAACGGAATGCTTTAAAAACTGTTGAGAAGCTTTAACAATTAGACTCACATGAAAAGAGTAACAAAATTCTAGAATTAAAAACGAGTTGGGCTTAATTACAGCTATATATTATATAGAAACGTAACTTTTCAAATAGTTCTAAGTATTAAGTATAAAGCACAAATTGTTGTCTGTCATTAAAATATGTTTTGCGAATGAATAACTAAAAATATGAAAAGATGAATATAAATTCTTTCCAAATCAATTAAATAAATGCACCAGTAAATACACCATAATCTAATCCAGTTTTAATGACTATAATCATATATAATAAAGGTCAGAAAATATAATTATAAACCGAGATAAAGTTAACATCCCATATCCTTTACAAAAAATGTCTGAAAAATATATGTGCAATTAGTATCTCTTAAGTTACAGTTAGAAGCCCAAGCTTTTCTCCATGCATCCACTTGCTCTCACACACTTGCCCCTTTGCAGCACTGGCAAATGTCACCAGTCAGCAGTCAGCTTAAGGCGTATTATGGATGGGAGACAGACAGGAAGACGGCAAACTGGGAGGCGGAGACTCAAACGGAGAATCCAGCTCCGGTGGAAGCGGAAATGGGAGACAGTAAATGGGGCTGCCGCGAAGCCATTTGGGACTTACCTCATCGATAAACTCAAAATCGCCACCCGTCTCGCCGACATACTTCTTCTTTCTGGCCTCCGAGCTGCCAATCAGGCTGGATGACATCAACACCAGCGCGAGACAAGCGCTGGCAATCAGCGGCGAGTGCTTCATGGCTGATGAATGGCGTCCAGGAACAGGAAAAGGAGATGGCGACGGTGGCGCTGAGTGAGACTGAGACTGAGCGCTGAGGCTGAGGCTGAGGAAGTGCTTTAAGGGATTCCCTGTTGACGGGTTCCGCTCTCGGTGTCTTAATCGCCGTGCTAGCCCGTGGAAAACTACGGACGCCTTCGGTTTACGCACTCACGCACACGCACTGGCGCAATTCACACGCACACACGGAAAGTAACTATGAATGACAATGAGTTTTGGTTTTTGGTTTTTGCTTTTGCAATCGCAGGCGCCTCCGCGGATACAGAGTAGCCTGGACACGGAACACTAGAGAACTGAAGGCGACGCGGCCGAAACGTAAACTGAGCGACTTCGCCTCGAGATTCTGAGTGGCAGCCATCGCGGCAGCATTGGAATTTTGCGACACAAGCGCCGAGCGCTAAAAGAGCGACAGGATGCATTAAGAGAGGCAGTCTGGAACATCCTGGATGCGACTAGAGTTGTCAGGAGAATCGTGGGAATTTTTAAAGATTTAAATTATAAAAGTTTACTCATATTATTTCAGCTAGAAACTTGTTTTGAAAAAGAATTTTAGATAATTTACACAAGACAAGTACCACTTACCAAAGTAAAAAAATGATGATATATAATATTATAATTTGTGCTTAAAAAATTAAAAACATTTTTAGGCTGTAAATTATAACAAAAAAAAAACCAAAACATTCAAACATTCTTTCGAACAGTGTACCCCACTGCGTATGCGCAATGTGTCCTAGCTCTCTCTCTCTCTCTTCTGTGGCATTCCCACCATTCCCCTTCCGTTGCTGCAACAACTGCCTGGCAATTTCCAGACTGCCACCACCAACAAAACAAACGACGACCAGCGTACATCCAAAATCGATTTTCCGGCCTCTCTTCGGGCTTCCCAGCGCCCCAAAGCTCTGGAATGCGGGCTCTCTTAAGCGATAATTGCTGTAGCCAAGGCAGCGGGTCGTGAACCTGCCACTGGCGCCTAATGCGACTCCGCATCCCAAATGGACTTGAGCTGTTGTTGCTAGTGTCGCTGGCTGTTGATTTTTATGTATTGGCGCTTGGCACACTTGGACCGGGCTGCTGTTGGCCGGGAAACCCCAAAACCATTTAACGCGTCAGCGTCAGCATCAGCATCAACGGCATGAGCGCGCCTCGGAGGCTGGCCAAACGCCGCTGGTCCTCTAGCCGCGGCGACCCTGTGTAGCCAGAGTCCCAGACACGTTGTAGTTGGACCCAGACCCGTAGGCTCTGTCAGTTTCAAATTAATAGCCACGCACACACACTTCTCCGTTCTGGGGTGTGCATTTATTATGTGAGTGAGCCTGTGCTTGCCTACTTTTGTCCTCGTCCTCATCGTTGTCGTCGCCACCGCGCCACCTCGCCGCTCCTCTGCTCCTCCATCGCTGCTCTATTATAATGGCATCATTGACTTGTGCTTTGATGGCTGCTTTGGCCCGGACAGGGCTTCGGAGCCCGGCCCCTCCCATGCGTGTGTGTCTCAGTGTGTGTGTGCTCCAGTCCGCCTCCACTTGATCCCTATTTCTGTACGGACGGCTGGAGCCGGTAGCTGCCTTTTTTGAATATTCAACTCACACTTGGTATTGCTACTGCTGCTGCTGCTGCTGCTGCTGCTCCTGCTGTTTGCTGCCTTGAAGTCCGCCCCTCTGCACTACGGGATAGTAACTTGCCGAAATTTGTCGGTCGCCATGGGGCTTTAAACTTCGCTCTGCTGGTCACAGTCACAGCCGGTGCTTCTTTCTTGTAAAACTTTACATTTTATTGGATTTCCAAATGATTTTCAATCAACAAGTCCATGTTATGCAATATGTAGTAATGTATGTGTGGGTGTACAGTTATTGTTATTGTTTTTTGCAGTCATTGCAATTGCTAATCGAACTGATTTCTCGATAAAATGGCTTTAAACTACACACTAGTAGCAGGATCTGTGCTTCATGTCACGGCTTAAGTGCTAAACATCGTACAATAGATACATGACACCATTTTTTGCGTGACTGCAAGCACTCATATTTGGATTACAAACACAAAACAAAGAACTGCATGGTAATGTGGTTGATTAATAATTATTTTTTGGTTAGTTACAAGTCTTAAACGCTTTCTAAACAAATGGAAATGCCTGGTAATGATTGTTAGTTTCGGCTGGGAAGATAAGAACCCCTAATCGTAAGGTAAATATTTGCGACGTGCAGCAGCTGCTTTGTTCACTGGGCGCCTAATGTTGCTAGTTCGTAATTTTCTCTAAATGCTACATAAAAATATATTTCTGGTATAAAAACGTGAATACTTTTAGCTGGGCTGCTGCAGACACATTTGGCCGCACACAGATTATGGCTAATATAAAATTGTTCTTCCGCCAGAGATTCCGTTTGAGTTTTACAAATGCACTTTTAGAGATTCCATACGGCTCACAATGCGGCGACGCAGTTCGGCGTATCTGTGAGTGATGCTTTTTTTCAAAGTTTCTCGACTAATTAATTTGATAATGAGACTCACCTTTCCTTTATCTTGGCCACTTCGCGGGCCACTTCCTGATCATAACGCTCCAGAATGGCACGGCACTCGGGCAGCGATAGGTTCAAAAATTGAGCAACTTCATTACTGAAAGCGAAATTGTTAAATAAAGGCCATGATAGATTTCTGGTATTATTACCTGATTTCATCTGTTTTCCGGGCGTCCACCAAAAACATACGTGCCACATCCTCATGAGGACCCAAAGTAACGCGCGTTATCAGGGGATACTCGTCATCCCTTAAACGCTTTTGCTCCCCATTGTCACGCACTATGAAAAGCGAAAAATTCTCCGCCGCACTGTCCACCTTGTACTTTTCCAGCACCAAGTTAATAACCTCCGGAGTGGTCACCATCGAGGAGACCCAAACAGACATCTGAGAACCATAGGGCGGTGTAAAAAACGAAGTCTCTCGATTGTAGTAGTGACCATTGATAGAGCACCGACGTTTCAGCTTGGTTCGGGAACTGTACACAAAAAGAGATTCTGATTACGAGACTGATATTGAAACCCAAGCTTTATCAACCCACCGGCGGTTTCCGCTACGTCGCTTGATAGCTGCAGCTCCAGTACGTGGGGGTCTCCGTAGCACTACGCCATCTTCGGTGACGTGCAGCCCCGCCGTTCCGGCTCCATCGCCCTCGGGGCCTCCAACTCCCTCGCTCGCTGTGTACAGTTCCTCGGTTTGGGTGAGCTCATCGCCGGCAGCAGCTCCGCTGGTTATGGACGGAGCATCTGCACGGCTGGACTCACCTTCGCTGGCAGCAGCAGCATTCTCTTTGGGATAGCAATCCATCTGGATCTGAATGTACCGGGGAGGGATATCGCTGCGTCTTATGGTGGCCAGACGTTGGGGTCTTAGAGTGGCCTCATCGTCGTCATCGCTGTCAGAATATACGAAGCAACTGGGTCCCGACTTTGAGCGATTTATACCCTTCTCGAAGAGCTGCCGCCCCTGCTGATATGGCTTCTTGGGCTCCCCTCTGTGAGCCGCTGTGGTTGCTGAGGCCGAACCGCTCTTCTGCAAGGCATATTGGCGCTGTGAGGAGCGCGGAGAGCCCACGCTGCTGCGCAAGTTCATGGTGTCGTTGATCAGTGTGGGATCTATTGAGCGCAACGCATGCTCACAGTTAAAGCTTTTGCTCATCACCGAGTTCTCGCCGTAGAGCTTGAGGGAGTCGTGGATGCGAGACGGATCAATGGGCTGATTGCGCTTCAGGGTGTCGTCGTTGGGTTCCTTGAAGGAGTTTGTCCCATTGACGTAGTCCTGATGCACACTGCGTTTAAAGTCCTCAAAGTCCATTGGTTTCAGGGTAGCATCGTCGGAGGTCTCATAGTTATCCACCGTGGTCTCAGTGGTGGTCGCCGTAGTGGTATTTTGAGTGTTCGTGTTTGCCGTCAACGAGTCCGTGGCTGTCATAAAGTTATCCGAGCTGCTGCTTTCCGTGGTGGCAGATTGTGTTGAGCTCGACTCCGTGGTGGTCGTGGTGTTGTCCGTGGACGTTTTGCTGGGCGAACTGTCGCTGGATGATTGCGACGAGGGGAGTTTAACAGGCATTGTCTCGTAAATGCGATCCTTCTCATTGTGGCGCCTCTCCACCTGCAGAAGATCATCGATATCATCCCAGTCCAGCTTCTCCAAATTGCCCAGCTTAGAGGGTAGCGTGCTGGACACACAGCTTGTGCTGGCAGTGGGTGCCTCCACTAGCGTGCCAGAAGAGTCTGTGGTGGTCGTATCCTCGTCGTCGTTGGAGACTTTGCCATTGGTCACTTCCTTGCTGTTCCCTGTGGTGTTGGCAGACGCATCGTCGGGGGTTGTAGGCAGCTCCGATATCTCGTTGAGGCTGCACGAGTCGAAGGTCATGCTCTCAGACAACGAAACATCCGTGGAAAGTTGGTCCACTTCGCCGGTTGTGGTTGTGGGCGGAGCAAGTGACTCGCTAACCTCGTTTTCCTTATCCGAGCTGCTCTCCTAAGGGTGACATACAAGTGGTTTTACATTAGTACATTATCTGCTTCTTAAATGGGTAATTTTTTACATTTGCTGCCTTAGACACACGGCAGGAATTCCTCTTGCGCACCACAAACGTCCGCTGGTCGTCATCTTCCTTCAGGTGAATCACTCCCTGCACTCCCCAGTAGACGCGCAGGGCTCCTTCCAGCACCAAGCGGTTGTTCACCTCGCGGCTGCGTATCTCCAGACTTTTATTGTCGTAGAATTGGTTGTAGACCTGCCGGTAAATGGGACTTTTATTAGTCATCTAGACCTGGGTTCCTTGTCTTATGCATGCCGCACCTTCAGCTTGGACTCCAGGTGATCACGCGGAAGGGTGGGGCCATTGGCCTGAGCTCTTGCCGGCTTCTGGGCTCCCTTCACCCCGTAGCTCTTATGCGACTCCACCCTGGTGCCATGGCCAAAGAGCTGGGGTCCGAACAGCGCTCCATAGCACGGCACATGACAGTAAGGCACACCTTTGTGCTAAAAAAGGCAACAAAACAGAGATGCATCGAGATCATGCGGCTAAACATCACCTGTTACACTCACCTCAGCGTGCTGGCCGGGATTCAGTCGCTTACCGCACTCCTCGCAGCGCAAACATTCCGGATGCCAATCGTAGCCGAGCGATTGTTTACGTTCCGCTGTGTTTGGAATAAATGAAAATAATTACATACGATTTATTTACGGATCAGGGCCTGTTCGCAGCTGCAAGTGTGTGCGGACGTGGGTGTGTGTATTACCAAAGAAAACGGGTTTGCCGCACTTGTGGCACTTCCACATTCTTCTCCAGTTGGCTCCAAACTGCACAGGTCAACGATTCCAGAGTCCCAATTCCCAATTTCCGGGTGCGCTCTTGCTGCTCCTCCGCTTTAGCTCCCCCGATCGCGGGATGTGGGCCAAACTCACGTTACGCCACGGGATTTATGCAAATGAGGCGATTTTGAGCGGACACGAAACGCAAATAGAACGCAAGACAAAGGGTAAACACATGGGGGAGTGGAGGTGGAGTGCGGGACTTTGTGCGGTCACTTGGCCATCGGCGCCGGGGAACGTGAGAAAGACATAGTTTTATAAATGAAACTGGCACTGGGCACACCCACGCGACGGGCACAAGGCAGGTGCATCGAGTGTTGTGCGTTCTTAAATAGATAATTGCACCAAAACCAAAACAGCACCAGCAGAAAGAGAACAGAACAATGAAATAGAGGTGGAAGTTCAGCAATGATTGTATCGATTACGACGTAAAGCGATTGTTTTGGGCACTATCGATTCCCTCCTAAGAACCCGGAAGGTAACCGATATTTATAGTTTTGAACACAAATTTAAAGTTGTTCTGTTCGCGTTTAAGTTTTCAAAAATAAATGTTTTATTTTAAATCGATTAATATATATTTTGATTTTGTATATATAAATGATCGGTACAGGGTATCCAAACTTCGTGACACCTTTTTCTAATTAATCGATGTTTTCATAGAAACAATCGATAGTATTTACAATCGTTATGTTATGTTTTTAAAATTATTATTAGGAATCATCCTTGTTCCACTAGCTGTATAACCACATCTGTTTATTAAAACTATATTAAATTTGTACCGGACGTAGCAAGACCTGAGAACCAATAACGTAAACAACTTTAAAAATAGCCCGCCAAGGGGTGTGACCATCTGCAGATGCGCAGCCTCCCTGCGTTATTTCTTGGCGGTCTGGACGCGGCCACACTGTTCAATAGAAAGCGAGACGTTTTTATTTTGTTGTCTGTGGATTCCGCGCTGTGAATTTCGTTAATTTGCCCATTGACTCGCGTAAATCGGCAAGTTCCGCTTATCAGGGCCAGAGCTCTACGTGTGTGCCCGTCGACCTCCGAGGATGCGAGCAGCCCATCCGCCTCCGGCTGCCTGCAATTAGGTTCTCGAAACGCGTCGCCTGGAAGGCAGCAGCAACAGGCCAGCTATTCCGCAGGCCCCAATTAGCGAACAGCCAACAGTGCAAGTGCTACGTGCGTGTGATTGTGTCCGAGCTGCTGTCTCAGCTTCGATTGGAGCCACGATGCGCGCCACCATCGAGTTCGAGGAGTGCCTGAAGGATTCGCCGCGCTTCAGGTGGATATAACCCATACACAGTACCCAAGCCCCTATAAATTCCTTTCCTTGTTTACACCATCTGAGCCTCCGCTTTTGGCAGCCCGAGATTTGCATTGTTCCGGAGAGCTGTCCATGTAGCGTGACTGGTTGCTATCAAGCTAGGCCTCGCCACCCGCCCCCTTGCCAGCCAGCGCTGAAAACGCGGCTTAATCATCCATCGAACAAACTTTGCACTGGAAACCGTCCCGTCACCGCTGTGGAATTTATCTTCCCTTTCTGCCGTTGCCCCCGTCTTGCCAACCGTTTAATTGCCGATGCTAGACTGGCAAATGTTTCGCCGCTGATTGATAAGATTTCACCGAAATTGCCTCTTCTTGGCTAATCGCGCCCAAAGACAAAGCTTTCCCTCGTAAATGCTGCACAAAAGCGGCGAGATAACTCGTTTACTGGCACCCTCTTCCCCACTTCTCACTTCTTGTAGCACCTGCAGCAGCTCCTAATGAAAAAAAACCGGAAACAGCAACCGGATTTAAAGTTCGAACCTGAGAATACCCTTCCCATGAACTATTTTTGATAGATCTTTAAAGAGGAAAGGATTTTAACTACAATTTTTGGTTCATTTATTTGTAATAAATATATTAAGTATTGGTTGTGCTGATTAAACTGGATAGTTTCTTAAGCAATTACACGAGAGTGTTCCAATGCAAAGGAAACGTAACAAATGTTAGAGGAGTTTTTTCAAAAAACTTAAAGTTTAGCAAATTGCCGCATTTTCTATATATTAGCTAGTTGTGAGGTTTCGGCTAAAGCCGACCATCTGTCGAGTTCCAATGCCTGTTAATTTTATTGTTTTATTTTACTTATCGAGTTGATTTATTTTCCTTAAGGTGTATATATATAAATTAATTCAAAAGTCACTTTGAACGCATTATTTGGTAGGGAAGTCTGGCCAGTAGTTTATGTAGTACTTGTGTGTTGACCCGTCAAACAATCTCTCTAACCAGTCATCCAGGCTGTTGAGTAAATGATCCTCCAGGAGGACATTTGCCTCTGCCTCTGACTCTTCGGAATAGCCTTTATCCAGGAATGTTCCAATCTCAGGATCCTCTCTCCTGTCCAAAAACGGTTTGGTAATTTTCAAAATTCTCTTGGCCCCGCGAACGGATTCTGGATGCTTGGCGTGATACATACAAAAGTATTTTCGGTGGCCATTCAATGCTATTACAGTGCCCACACAATTCCGGGGATTAACCTGCAACTTTTGATTTGTGCACAGCGACAATCGAAGGAGCTCAGAGTACCACGGCAATCCCTTTTCAATTAGCATGTGTCCGAATAATAATGTCTTGGATTTCCTGTAAGGCCAAACGGCCTTGTGAAAGTAGGGTATCAATTTCTTTCGGCTTTGCAAGTCTGTAATGAGGAGTAATGTGCGGCAACCTGGCTTTAGTAGACGAACCATTCCGTTATATTTTTCAGCTCTCAGCTCGTAAAGCTTAAGTTCTGGGACGGGTTGATTATGATATTGTTCTTGGCCATCAACAAGATGTCCTTGGGCCTTGAGATTTTCCTCTTCTGCCCGCACAAAGTACATCAGCACATACCCAACGGCAAACATGAATGCAATTGTTCCCAAGAGGGAAAATGCAGCCAGGAGGTGCTCATCTTCTATATTATCAGATAAATAGTCCAGCATATATAGCATTCGCGACATCCATTTGGTAATTATTCCTTCGGAATGCTCATTAAATAGCTTCTCCACAAAGGCTTCGTAATTTAGCGACTCTGACGATTTTAAAAGTCTCTTCACTGTGAAAGAAATTTCATAGTTTGTGGCATTGATTAAACTTTCGTTCACAAAGTTTGCATATTGCTTAGCACCGCAGACCCACTCGTACTTAATATGTTTATCATCCCGCCGCCAAATGATGACAATTTGCAGGGGATTCTTCTCAAATGATCCCTTTGAAATGGCATTGATAAAATCGGGTTGACTCTCCTTGAACATGTACGCGAATCGAACTCTTTCCAAGCTGTAACCACTATTTAGAGCAATTCGCCTGAGAGCGACTCTTGCAAAGTCGTGCTTTTTATTATTTTCCGTGATGAGAACCACGCACAAACGTTTTCTTGGTCGGTTCCACTCCCTTGGACACACACTCTCCAGGATATCCTGTGAGGATAGTCTAGGTAAAGCCAGATATTGATTGGAAGAAACCACATCTATCAGTGTTTGCGTTGGGATGTCCGGCATACATACACTGGCCACATAGCTCGTCGACTCTTCATTGAATATAAGCAGAGTGTCCATGCTGGTATTAACCTTAAAACGATCAATTATGTCCTTCGATCGCTTACTATTCATATCGACAAACCCGAATGCGACACGATCGTTGAATTCAAAGGCAGTTAGCAGGTACCGCAGCCGGATTAAACTGCGAGGCTCCAAGATAAGAGCACGAACCCTGTTATCCATCCATCCGCCAAGGAAATCATCAATATTTTCGCTGTCCACACGTTGCATGATTCTGAACGGTAGCTTCTTGCGGATGAAGTCAACCACCTTTTGGGGTGTAATCGAATGCTCTCGGTAAATGAAGACATGCCCATCGATGACAACTACCATCTTGGGGACCTCATCTATGCCAGTTTTCCGGAAAATTGACTCCTCGTGTATGGCATTGACGGTTGCAAAGTTAACCCCCACGGGTTCCAGGATGTCCATCACCTTTTTAAATGCGTTGACTATTCGGTTGCACCGGAAGCACCAGTCGTTATAGAACATTACTACGTGAACCTTCTTGGCGCTGTTTGGCAAAATATTCTTCTCAAAGTAGTTGGCGGTGACGGATAGCTTGTGGAAGAGCACAATGTCCTGGTCTATGGTGAAATGCTTCCCGAACGTGTCTTCCGTTTGATAGTACGAATATCGATTATATTCACTGTAGTCATATTTGTCCTGCAAATAGTGCGAATCCTCACTGGTGACTCCATGCCGATCATAGATGCGTCGTCGGTCGGTGTCGCTTAGCAGCTCATAAGCTGATTTTATTTGGACAAATTTCTCCACCGAATCCGAGTCGGAACGTTTGTCTGGGTGCCACTCTTTGGCCAGCTCCTTGTACGCTTTCCTTATTTCCTGCGCAGAAGCCGTGTTGCTTACACCGAGTATGGCGTAAGGGTCGTTCGAGGCGCAAAGACATATTGTTGCATTTGCACACAGGACCAGAAATATCACTAATATATTTTGTTCACTAAATTTTCCCGTTGACATCTTCTTCCAGTATTGGTTGAAAACATATGTTTTGAGAGAATCAATACTAGAATTTACAATGTGACCGCAGGTTGGGAGATGCTATATACCATCCTGCTCCAAGTTGGCGCCACTGGGGCAGAGATGAGCCAGAAACTGGGTGGAGGATTTAACTAGGATAATATCCGGGTATTCTATTGTAGGCGGGGATTTCAATCTAAAACTATTTATTGTTTTTTTAAGCAATTTCCAGGTTTTTTCTATTAGAAAAACCCGCGCCTGCGCAGAAATATCTTTACAGTTTGCGTCAGAAGTATTAGTCAACACTATTAGGCGGATAAAATTAAACCAAAAGTAGGTCAGGAATTCTTGTTGTTGTTAAAGCTGTTTATACAAAGAACTTAGTTAAAGTATTTAAAAACTATTTCAAAAACAATTCTAGGCCTGATTCCTGTTAGGATCTATGTACATGATATAATTCTCATGGCTAAGACTTACCGCAGTGAAGGAGACACATCATAGCTTATCTTCTTCCAGTATAGAATTGACTTCAATTAGGTATCATCGAAGTGAGCTTCCTGGTTGTCCAGATGTATTCCAATGGCCAGGTAATACTTTTGGGTCGAAGGGCAATCACTATCAGAACCACTATCACTATAGATGTAAACAGTACGAAAGCCACGGACAGACTGAGGCAAGCGGGACGCTAGTGCCCTGTATTTATAGTCCCCGAGTCCAGAGAACAGAGAAAGTGAGAGCGCGAGAGAAAGAGCTATCTCTAGAGATACACAGAAATTGAGATATACACACTGAAAAATATTGAGAGAGAGAAGGAGAGAGTGAGCGAGAGAGAGAGTGACAGAGACAAGTTTGAGTAGAATCGTGAGACAGATATATGAACATGTTGAACTGTTGATGCTGATCAAGAATATATATACTTTATATGGTTGCAAATTTCTGGCTAAAATTATAATACCCTGCAATGTATTTTAAAATTAAATAATAGAATCCTACAAGATTTTGAGTCTGTATTCTAGAATACATTTTCTTTCTTAAACTATTTCTTATTCTCTTCGAGATCTGATCTTCTGTTTTTCTAGCCCCTATCCCAAGGTATTTTCGAATACAAATAAAGTGTTGAAACAAAACCAATGCACGACTAATTGATGGTTAGCACCAGGGAAGAAGCGGGGAAAGCCAGAAAGTAAGCAACAGCGTGTCCCCCGAGGGACAGACTCTATTTTGTGGCGAAGCGTCCACAATTGGAAGCGCAAATACGCTTTAATACAGCGGCATAAATTAAAAGTGTCAACATAAACAGTCTCTGTGAGAGAGCGAGGGCTCCGCACACTGGCAGTGCCGCTGCCCCCGCGATAACTTCTTTGATTAAGCTGCCAGATAATGTTTACCCAACTCGGGCAATTTTAATTATCAGCAGACTCAAGCCTATACCCAATCCCAGACCCATTACCCGTCCCATCTGTTGTTTACATCTCTCAGCAGAATTGTGCTAACGTTTTCAGTTTGTTTTTGCCAGACAATTTGTATCCAAGGAGGAGGCTGACATCGAACATTTGGAGCAGCGGCTGGAGAAAATCATCAAGCTGTGCAATGTGGCCGTCGACTCCGGGAAGGAGTATGTCAAGAACCAGAGGTACAACCACTGCGCAGTTTCCATCCTCATGCATATTCATTGTCATCGATTCTCGGTATTTTACAGCGCCTTTGCCATGTCCTTGTGGGATCTGCAACAGCACTTTCTCGACAACAAGAACGCGCACAACGCTCTGGGCAAGCTGATACATTGCTTCCAGGTGAGGTCTAGCCCTGAGGATAAATAGGGCACGGATGGCTCATTTTGCACTTATTTTTCAGGAGATGAACAAGTTCCATACGATTCTCTTGGATCAGGCTAGCAGGACGGTGCTAAAGAATCTCAGTGTGTTTGTAAAGGACGACATCAACCAGGTGAAGGACTACAAGGGTCACTTCCTTAAGGTTTCCGAGGGCTACGACAATGCGCTAATTAAAAACGCACAGGTCTGAAACAATAGCAAAGGCAATCGCGAACAAGTGCCTAATCTATGTTCGTTATTCCTTTAGGCCAGTAAAAACCGCCCGCAAGAGGTGCAGGAAGCTGCCAATATCCTTTCCGCCTCCAAATCCTGTTTCCAGCACACCGCCCTGGACTATGTGAACTATATAACGCTGGCCCAGGCTCGCAAGGTCCCCTCCATATTGTCAACGGTAAGAAAAGGCCAAGGTGTCGTTAGATATCACCTCTTATCGCTTCCAAATGCCATGAATGGAGTGGCCCGCGACCGCTGAGTAAATAACTTCAAGGGATTTGTTTTTGTTATGACGTCACTACTGCGATATAAATGCGTGTTTGTATATATGTATATGTTGCATATCTAAAAGCATTGATCAGCAAGTTGAGTCAGTTTGTGCGCTGGCTAACGCGATCAGTTGCCTATCAGGAGTACTCGGTGCCGGATCGTCACTGGGGGTGCAAAGAAACTAAAGAACAATAACTGCTATTCTTTGTTTGCGGCACGTTTTAAAGCTGATCTCCCCCGCTATTTTTTCGGCAGCTGCTGGACTACTATCAGGCGTGCGTGACCTACTACCACCAGGGCTTCGATCTGTGCAACGACTTTGACGAGTTTTTCAAGAATATCAGTGAAGACTTGAATGCGCTACGGGGTGACTATCAGCAGCTGGAAAAGGCCATGCAGAACCGCCACATGAGCGTCAATCGCTACTGCGACTCGAACACCAACAGCACCTCCAACAAGATCGAGGGATACCTGTTCAAGAAGAAGTCCAAGGGCTTCAAGACCTGGTGCCGGCGCTGGTTCTACTTGAGCGACAACCAGCTCGTCTACAGGTGGGTCCGCGCAGCTTGCTCCTTTTGCTCATTTGTCCATCCCGAAAAAACCCATCCCATCTGCTTGCTTAGTTAATATTGTTTTGCAACTTTTGATTTCTGTCATGTTTTTGTTGTGTGGTGTAATATGATGTGATGTGTTGGCCGTACGCTGAAGTGATTTGGATTCGCATTGCAGAAAACGCAGCAATGAGGACTCGTTCTCGGTCATGGAGGAGGATCTGCGCATCTGTCATGTGCGCCCGGTAAACGAGGGCGACCGTCGCTTCTGCTTTGAGGTCATCTCGCCGACAAAGTAAGTAGTCCTTATCCCTTATTTTAGACAGCTACTGATACAGCTCTATTCCATGTTCACAGATCTCACATTTTGCAGGCGGACTCCGCCGATATGCTCTCTCTGTGGATTTCCGCGCTGCAGCACAGCATTGGGGCAGCCATCCAGCATGACTCCACCACGCATCACTCACGACCGCAGTCGACGAACACACCCAATGCTTTACCCGCAAAGCGGAGAATGTTAGTTTGATTCACTTTTGATTTTCTATCCCATGCCTCATAACCAATCGGACTTCCCGTCTTTCAGCCACTGGGAGGAGTTCCTTAAGATACCCGGCAACGCGTACTGCTGCGACTGCAGGAGCCCCGAACCGCGATGGGCTTCTATCAATCTGGGCATCACGCTGTGCATTGAGTGCTCTGGAGTTCATCGCAGCCTGGGCGTCCACTACAGCAAAGTGCGCTCTCTGACTTTGGATGCCTGGGAGACCGAGAACGTGAAGGTGATGATGGAGCTCGGCAACGAGGTGGTGAACCGCATCTATGAGGCACGCACTGGCGAAGACTGCGAGCTTCAGCATCCTACTGAGCAATGCGAGATAGGAGTTCGCGAGGCCTGGATCAAGGCCAAATATGTGGAGCGGCGGTTTGTGTGCGGCATGCCTAAGCCCCAAGAGCTGCTGGCAAGTGAAACGGCCGAGGTGCTAAGCATAGATAGTGGAGGGCTGGCGGAGGACGGTGGCAGTGGAGGCAGCGGAACAGGACTTGGAATCGGTAAGCGGGCCACTCTCTCGCTGGGAGGGACACGCAAGTGGGCGGTGAAGAAGTTAAGACGGAGGCGACAGCAGCGGTCGTTGCCCAAAACATTAAGTGACGATCCGAGCATATATAACACGGCCAAGACAGGCGACGAGCTAGACGAAGACGACGATGATGAATCCATCAACATTCCTTCAATGTCGCTGAGCATATCTCGCGACGATTTGCTGGTCATCGGTGATGACCTGGCCCTGGACAGCTTTGAGACGCCTGGCATTCTGGGTAGTGATCAAGACAGCACCGAAGGCGAGTCGGAGACGGAAATGCCGGAGGAGCTGCCCTTCTCTCAGCTGGACGCCAACCAATTGCTTTACATGGCTTCGGTAGTACACAATCTGCCGGTGATGTGCATGGCCTTCGCCTTGGGCGCCGACAAGCACTGGAAGAACCCCCAGGATAGGCAGCGGTCGTTCCTTCACCAGGCCGTGATCTCCGGCTCCGTGATGGCCTGCGAGTACCTCCTGCTAAATGGAGCCGCCATCGATGCTGTGGACGAGCTGGGCTACAGTGCACTGCACATATCCACGGCCAAGGGCCACATCGCCCAGGTGTATTTGCTGCTGAAGCACAAGGCAGCCTACGACCTGGCCTCCAGTGATGGCAAGAAGGCATTGGATATTGCAGTTGACCAGAAGAACGCCGATATTGTGACACTGTAAGATTGCATAAATATTAACTGTTATCTATATTAATTGAATTAATGTTTTAGACTCCGGCTGACAAGGCTTAATGACGAGATCGGTCTGAACGATGAGTTCAACGGGGAGGATGAGACGTATAAGGACGTAATGAAGGACTTCTCCAACTTTACCGCCAGCCAGCCGCGAATGCTACGCCAGCGGAATGATTCCAATACTTTGGAGTCGCAGCGCAGCTCGCTCACCAATTCTGACTAGCAGCGGGTGATGGGTCGCAGAAATTAAAGGACCCTTTCGTTATTGTGGACATTGTACCGATTAGTAGGCTAGGGTGCACATTGGATTGTTATTGGCTTTATAATGCATTAACCAGGAATGGTAAAAGGTTTCGATTTCGATGTCCTCGCAGCAGAGGCTCGAGAAGGCAATCTCACTTGAAAGGCGCTTCCGATTATACAACAAAGATTTATTAATTGCATTTTATCCTTGTATTTTGCATTTGATTTCTCTTGGCGCATTTTAGGTCCCGTTTGTTGGCGCTTAGCTTAAGTTTAAAGTATTTGTAGAGGAGTTGAGTTTATTAAAACACATGTATTTGCCTATCATATTGTACATCATCTTATGTGGTATTTATTAAACAAACAATATATTGTAAAATGTACGTCTAGCTAGATATTATATTGTAACCCGTTATAGAGCTGTTCCAAATGTTCGACTTTGTATTTGTATTTCGCTAAACTGTTTAACGCTGCATGCATTCTAAATGTTCTAACTCTATCATGTTGATGATAAATGGTGCCAACTGTTGTGAGCACTTCCAGTTCGCGAAATAAAGTTGTAAAATATTCAAAGCTTATTTGGTCATTGTCAGTGTGGTAAGATCACGACAGGATAATTTATTCCATCTCACTAATCTCGGGCTCGGAGCCATAATCCACTGACTTTTTTAGCCCCTTGTGCACGGTGGTAATATGTCGCTGGAGGGCACTGCGATCGTTGAATTGTCGTTCGCACTCCTTGCAGTTGAACATGACGCCCGCATGGGTGACCAAATGGCGACTCAGACCCGACTGGTGGTTGAAGCTGCGAGGGCACAGGTGACACTTATTGGTCCTGTTGTTGCCCATGTGCACCCGACTGATGTGCTGCTGCAGATTTGATTTCTGGGCAAAGCACGTCGAGCAGTGGGGGCACTTGTGACGCTTAGCTCCCGTGTGGGTGTCCATGTGTCGTTTAAGCACCTCTCGCTGAGAGAAGGACGCCTCGCATTCATCGCACTTAAAGGGCTTGATCCCAGTATGAATGACCATGTGACGCTTGAGGGAACTTGCACAGGACAGCTGCAATCCGCAGACGGGACACTTGAGTGTACCACCTTTGCCGTTCTTTATGCTTTTGATATGGATATTGTGGTGTCTCAGCAGTAACTTCTCTGAGGCAAAGGCCACCGGACAGATCTTACACTGGAAGGTCTTAATCGTGTCTGTGACCCTCCTAGGCTTTAGTTGACCCTCACGCAACTCTGCTCTACTCTGCTTTACTACAAACTCACTCTGTCGCTTTCGTTTGGAAGGGGGCTCTGCGTCTCGCGTAGTTTGGTTCTTCTCCTGAAATTGGGCAATGTTAAGCAAAAACACATTGACACGTCAGTAGTTTAGTTACCACAATGATAACATTCTCGTCAAAGTTATAGACCTGTTGCTCCTCAGCTATCTCGCCGTCCAAATTGAAGACCACCACATCGTCTAATTGCGTTTTATCTCCACTGAATTGAATCTCTCCATCTTCCTTAACTATAGAAATCAGATCAATAATGGTGAATCATTTAACCCATGATCCCTACTCACTGTTGTAAGACGTGATATTGTTGTCCTCGTCAAAGTCTGGCGATGAGGCAGGCTTGGTGGCCTGCGCACTATCCGCATCGATTATGTAAATCTCACCATCCTCGGTCCTCACCATTTCTCCTGCGCCGATCATTTTAAGGTCTCTGAAATCCTGTTCGCTTTCCGTGGGTACGTCAACCTCCAGCTCTAGTGTATCCACCTCCACCTCATCAACGGCAGAGGTTTCCGGAGTGCCACACCGCACGAAATCCTCCTCCCGTTCGGCCTGCTCCGCTTCCATTTTCAGCAATGCTGGTGGCTTCGCTTTTGGACTGGAGCTCTGCTTGACACAATTCTGAAGCTTCACCTTGGCCGGTGGCTTTACTACCGCCTCTTCTCCATCCAGTGCCTCCCAATGACCGGCCTTCTTCTCGGCCAGGTACACCTCAAGTTCGCCCAAGAGCTTGGCCAGCTGCTCCTTTCGGATCTCCTCAGACACTTCGTTGCGCAGCTCTTCACGAACATCGCTGCGGACCTCGGCCTCCAGCTGCTCTTTCACCTCACTGCGCACCTCCTCAGCCAGCTCCTTGCGTACTTCGGGAACAAGTTTGGCCCGCAGCTTTATCCGCGAGTCCACCAACCGCTTGTTTAACTCCTGCTCTTGCTCCTCTTTGAACTTTGCGCGCCACTTCTCGTCGGCTTTCTGGCGAACCTTATCCTGTTGCTCTATGAATGCTATCGAGTCTTCGAATTCCAGCTCATCGTCGTCAAAATCGTCACCATCCGGATCCTTTGAGAAGACACGGCTTCGCTTGCCCAGGCACAGCAGACGGGTGTGCTTCCGCAGCTTCTTCTCCGCCGCCTGGCATCGCTGCCGAAAGAGGAAGGACTTCTCCAGTTGGTATCTACACTCGCCGCATATCTTCTTGGGCAGGTTGTCCGTCGGTTTTGCGTCTAAAGCGACGCAAGCCATCAGGCGCACGGGGATCGACAGATTAGCCTCGTCCTCGTTGAATATATCGTACGCGTCCTGGTGCACCCCCAGGCACAGGCGGCACAAAGTCGACAAATCGGGATACGAAGGCGGAGCGTCCATAGGGTCGCTTCTTTCTGCTAAATTTCTTATAGTCGGCGGAATAACATGGATGTTGTAGTTGGCGTCGCTAGCATTTAGTGATGACAAAACATCAGAGAACTATCGGCTCTATCGATGTTTGGGTCTAGTTTTCCAAACATCGATAGTGCAAAAAACCGATCTTACAATTGTACTGAAAATTTCTTATGATAATTGTAATACAATATTTTATGGTTAATCTTTAGTTTTATATTTTACGTATATTACCAAATTAATTTAACAATTTTATACTTCAGATGTTAAATGGCAAAAAAGCCTTAATAAGTTTTTCTAAGAAACTGCTCTGCACTCTGGCGACTTCAGTATAGAAAGTTCGGATATGTAGCAAAGCTGGCATTGTTATAAGTGAGAAAATTAATAAATAAATAATATTTTATGAACGGAAAAAATTGGCTTCTGAAAATGTAAGATCATGCATTCACAAACAAACTGCAAGTTTTGTTATAATTTTTTAGTTACTTTTTATTTTATGAATTTTATCTCTTAATAACTATTTGTTCAATCATTTTATTTGTTTTGTACTCTTTAATATTAAGATTATAAGTAAACATTGTTTACTAATTGTTTCAAACAATAATGATAAAAAAAAAACATATCACTTTTTAAGTGTAATTAATATTTGTTTCTTTAATATTAATAAGTTAAGTACAAATTGATTGATATATAATATTTTTTATTTGGTAAAAATTTCAATTGCTTCTAACCGTCAGATTTTGAGAAAATCTAACAACAGTGGGTGGTGATTTGGGCTGATAGCTAAAGCGCGAACTATGAAAATGGAACCAGATAGGAACATGCAGAGAACCACTCGCTGACCAAGAAATGGAACCATGTTAAGAAAAATACTAAATTAAATAAAAAAAAGCAACGCGTTGAATAAAACATTAAGAAAAGTGACTGCTCAATAAATGGAACAGCCATTCAAAACAATTTGATGGGAATTTCATCTAAATCAGGGAAAGATTATTTTAGTATATACAACGGCGAAATGTTATGCCCTCCCCGACAAGCAAAATCGACCCAAACTTTTACAAAAATCTTACGCCCTTAAATGAACGCGTGCGAATTGCACGGTATCTCAAAAGATAGGGCCAAATATTCTATAATTTCGAATTAAATCTCTATTAAATCTAACCCACAGATCTTTAAAAATTAACGTTTTCTTTTCCCAAACTCATTCACAAGCACTGGCTCATATCGATAGGGGCACCTCCAACTCCCTATCGATAAACAGCCCACTAGAAAATATTCTTATTGACCATTTAAACATTTGTATAAAATATGCATGCCCCATGAATGGAATTGACATTTCAAGCATTTTGGTAGATGTTTCATCAAAATCCGTTCAGCCGTTCAAGAGAAAACATCACTTTTTCATTTATTTCCATAAATGCTCCTTCGAAGAATAAATATATCTGGCAGCACTGTCTGCCTAAAATTAAGTCAATTTGATTTAAACTTTATTATAAAACTTATGCAAAATGAAGATCGTACCATTAACGGGATCGCAATTCTGAACATTTTGATCCACGTTTCGTCAAAATCCGTTCAGTCGTTCATAAGAAATCCCGACTTTTTCATTTATTTCCATTTATGTGCCAGCGAAGAATAAATATATCCCGCAGCCCTGCCTGCCTAAAAACTAGAAAACTTGATATAAACTTTATTATTAAGCCTATGCAAAAGGAAGACTGTCCCATAGACGGCATCGTAGTACTGGACATTATGATGTATGTTTCATCAAAATCCGTTCAGTTGTTAATGAGAAATAACGAATTTTTCATTTATTGCAGTTGGTACCAGGGGTGCACAGTCATGCCTCCTTAGTACATAAATTAGTAATTCAAATGTTAATTTCTCCCAAACTACTGAACGGATTTCGATGAAACACCCACCAAATTGCTTAGAATAACGATATCTTTTATTGGGCAGACTATTAAATCTTATTTTGAAAATTTGCTTCTCAAATCTAGTGCTTCAATGCCCTTGCTTTGTAATATGATTTCAGGTCAAAAATTTGCAACGCAGTGAATAAATTATTTCCAACCCTATAAAGTATATATATTCTTGATCAGCATCAACAGCCGAGTCTATCTAGCCTTGTCCATCTGTCTGTCTCTTCATTTATAAGCAAATTGGACCCTTATATTTAAAGTTATCTAAATAAAACTTTGCAATTAGTCTTCTATATACTCTAACTAGTGTACAGTGGATTAAAATATTCAGAACTACAGTGCCGTCTATTCCATTTGCATACATACATACGTCCTACCATTAAGTTTAAATAAAATTTTATTTAATATTCTTCTTCGAACATACACACATACATACATTTACGGCAATAAATTAAAAAGTCGGGATATCTCATTAACGACTGAACGGATTTTGATGAAACATAGATCAAAATGTTTAGAACTGCGATGCCGTCTATGCGACAGCCTTCCTTTTGCATAAGTTTTATAATTAAGTTTAAATCAAATTGACTTAATTTTAGGCAGACAGTGTTGCCAGATATATTTATTCTTCGAAGGAGCATTTATGGAAATAAATGAAAAAGTGATGTTTTCTCTTGAACGGCTGAACGGATTTTGATGAAACAACTACCAAAATGCTTGGAATGTCAATTGTGTTTCAATTTATTTGTCAGTCACTTTTCTTAATGTTTTTTTCAACAATTTGCTATTGTTATTTAGTTTAGTATTTTTCTAATCATGGTTTCATGGTCTGGATCAGCGAGTGGTTCTCTGCATGTTCCCATCTGGTTCCATTTTCATAGTTCGCGCTTTAGCTATCAGCTCAAATACACCACCCACTGTTATTAGATGTTCTCAAAATCTGACTGTTAGAAAAAATTGAAATTTTTACCAAATACTCGTTAATCTTCCCCTAGTAAATCTATACACCGTGCATCTGTGCACGCGTTCGTAAATCGAAGTTACATGTCTAACAATATTTGATGCCCCGTTGTGTATGGATCCGACCCCGAGAATAGAACACTGTTATGCGATTTGCTTAAAAACTGACGGTTTGAAGAAATTTAAAGGGTAAAACTACAATAAATGTTCTTTATTTGGATTAGCCGAAATATTAGGAAATCTGTAAATACAAAATTTCACATTTTTTTTTTTTAAATATATCCAAATGGCAAATTCTTTCAAACCTTTTAGCATTTAGAAACTTTATTTTATTTGAATTAGTGCCTTAATTACGAAATAAATGAAAAATTAAAGGTCCCCTCCATGTTCCATGTTCCATTTTCCCACCGTTCCATTTCGACGCTAATTTGACGGATATATTTTAATTTAATTTTAAATCGAATTTCCAATTTTAGTAGCGCCAGATATTGGTCTTTGAACTATTTTTAGCCGCAGTGGGGGTCTCAAATATTAACCCCACTCAACGATCTATTAATGGTGATAGACTCGTGTTTTTCGAGAATCTAAGAAAATCTCTTCAAATTCATGTACATTTATCGATCGTTTTTAAGGCAGCTATATAATATAGTCGTCCGATTTTCATAAATTTAATAGCGACATTCTAGAATAATACAAAATGGCAATATTAATAATTATATGGACATTTTTTTAAAAACTTTTCAAGTAATATATTTTCTCCTAAAATTTTACTATCGTTTCTATGTCAGATTTATGAGGTAAAACTTAACCCAAAATTCTGAAATAATAAAATCTAATCTCTGAATAGATGAAAGTATTTGGAAAAACATCAAATTATATATATTTTTTTAAATAATTTCTTTATCGTTCGTATATATATGATATAGTAGTCCGATTATCAGAAAAATTATAATCGAAATTCTAGAATAAAAAATGTCTATATCTCAAATTAGATGAAATTTTGTTAAAAACTTAAAACGTCACAATTTTTTTTTTTTTATTTCCGAACGTTCCTATGAAATCCATATGATATAGTCGTCTGATCAAGTCCTTTTCGACTTATATGGTAATGAGAGGTTCAGAGGTTTAGATTTAAAACTTAGAGACTGAGTATATATTTTTCACTAAAATTATAATGCTCTGCAAGGGTATCACCACATCTAAATCAAGTATTTTTCATGTCTTAAATAAAACGAAAACCATCTGTAATATATGTTTTAAGTTTAATATAATTTCATACAAAAATTGTTTTTTTTTTATCATATATCTGTATAACTCTATATCTAGGTCAAATATTTTCCATGGTTTTTCGTTATTTTTTAACCTTAGTTTAAACGATATAAAGAAAATGCATAATCAAAAAAAAAGAAAGACTTCAATAAAAGCCAAGTTAAAACATGGTTTACAACAAATATTTGTTATATAGGAAAACATTAGAAAACTGGTCTTTTCAGAAAACCAAGGATTTCTTTTTTGTTTGTGTTGCTTTTCGTAGCCTTAAATAGAAAAGGATGTTGGTAAAATGTATATATTATATATACTAGTCCTAAATAAACGGTGGTTTGCCTAAGATGCTGTTTGATTTAGCTTGTGTGCACCCCGCAGACGACAACACACGCATTCGCTGGAATCGACTGGCTCCTGGGAGTACCGCTTTGTCCTGTCGTTGTGCTTGCGGCATAATAAAACGCTGATGCGCCTTCTCTTGACGCGAGGCGAGTTAACCTTCACATTCTTACGCGGAGTTGTCTTAGCTCTTAGGAAGGCTTCCCTGTTGAAGTCCTCACGCAGATGGCTCATTTGAGAGTCACTCATATTGATCTCGACCATAGGCATGGGATTAAACGAATTGGTAGGAGGAGCAGGATGTGTTTTTTCCGCAGTGGTCGGTGGTTGCCTAGGTTCTGGATTCCTAGGCTCCGGTTCGTCATCTAAGGGTGAATGCATTATAGCCAAGCGAGTGGATGGATAGTTTAGATACATTACCCAGTAGCTCTACAACATCTCCGCTCACTAGTTCTTCTTGTTCTTCTGCTTCAAAGAAACCATCGCTGTGTGCTCCATCCTTTTGGGGGGAATTCGTGCAAAAACTCTCGGACCCATAGGCCGCCTCGTTGCGCTTGCGCACGAAGAATGCCTCTAGCTCGTCGAAGAGCTCGTCCAGGACGCTGAGTTTCAGCTTCTGCTTGGCCTCAGCCATGAGCACTCCCATCATCTCGGCGCGAATCTCGTTTTCAATCTCACCGCGCACCGCCTGCTTACAGATGGCATGAAGCTCCTTTTTGTATGCGTCTAGCTCTGCACGGATGACCTTCGATGCTTGCTGACGCCACTGGGCGTTGTTCTCGGAGCAGGCTGTTGCCGTGCATCCAACCACGTCTTGCAGGATGCGTTCTTCCTCGGCCTCCTCCTGTGCCGCTATCACCTCCATATGGGCCTTGGGCTCGTGGTGTTGCAGCAAATTTCTTCGCTTCAGTCGCCGATCAACAGCAAGACAGCGTCGCCGGAAACTGTTAATTTCCTCGAGGCGCAGCCGACATATGGTACAAATGTGCTGCGGCAGGCCGTCTCCGGGGTCGATTTCTATAGAAAGGCATGCCATTATCCTCATTGCAGCCTTGGTATTTACAGTTGGAAAGTTGGCGTCCTTTGCCAGACACAGTCGACACGTATGCATCTTTGTTTAGCGGATAATTCGGGGAGCAGACTTCTGTTTGGCTGATTTGGTAGTAGGAGTCTGTTTAGAATCGTTAAAACTTCATTAAATTAGAAGAGAATTATTCTTCATTGCTTAAAATATTTGAATCGAAAAATTAATTGGTGTTTGGCTTAGGCAGTGTGGCCGTCACCTTTTTTTGCAAATATATCTGATTATATTTCGATAACTTCTAGTGTTTCGCGTTATAGAAGACTGGTCACACTGAAGCACTCGCGAATCGTCCATGACACTGGCGTTGCCGTACTAAGCGCGGCTGTGTAGCCCTGGGACGAGCTCTCAGCCATTGCGCTTAAAATTCAAATATTTAAAACTCAAAGAGCAATGTTTTTGTCACTTATAAAACCCCTTAAATAAGAAAAGATACTAACACTTATCAAACAATTTCATTATATTTCATTTAAATATTAAGTATAAATACCAGTTAACTAATTTAAGTATTATATACACAATTACAATAAAGTATTCAGTCACTATAATGCTTCTTCTATATACAAAGTACGATATATGTTTATATCCAATGGCTCGAACTCGCCGCCGCACTTTAATAAATTATGCAATTCAATTCCATTATAATATACAGTAACAGTCGTCTGTGGTCTTCGGAGTTTGCTGCTCGAATAAAGGATCTGCGCCGAGGATTGCCTACTTACAGCTAAAATGTTTGCGAGACCAAAACATCAAGGACAGTTAACAGTTTTTGTTTCGTTTTGATTTTCAGCTCGCTTGCTATCTGCATTCTTGATTTTCTTTTTTTTTTTTTGTGGGTGGGTGTGTTTTGTGTGTGTGTTAAATAAATAGTATCAATTGTTAAAACCATATTCAACATTGAAGTACATCGATCATTAGGCATATACATAACTACAAGATATAATACAATTAGAGCGCCCCTCGCAGGATCGCTAGGTGGCTATCCTCAATCGTGGCGCCAGCTCTGTGGCAGCACGTAGTCCTTGACCTTGTACAGGGCATTGGCATACCAATGGATGCCGTTCTGTCGCTCCGCCTGCGACACATTCTTTGCTGTGACGTTCGCCTCCGCCTTTGTCTTGGCTGGAGAGCTGCGCAGCTGCTCCTTGGCGGGCAGCCAGGCCTCCAGTGTGGAGAGGAGACGCATGGGAGCCAGGCCCCAGTGGGCCAGCGACTGGCTGTTGATCACCGCGTAGCAGCTGGCGGCCACCGAGTTGACCACAATCGTTCCCTCGCGGGTAAGTGGAGCGACCACGCCTTTGCTACGCACACTGGTCACTTGGATGACGCGCTGAGGCTTCAGTTCGCCAGTTGCCGCATCCCGAACCAGGACATAGTTTTGCTCCTTGACGCGATCCGCAAAGACAAAGGCCAGCTGCTGGTGCTCTGACTGCCACACGCTTACCAGATGCGCAGGCGTTACCGTCAGCACCGCTCCGCCGTCCGTGTGGAGCTGGACGAAGTTCTGCATCTGCTCCAGGTTGCGGTCCATGAAGAGAATCACCTCACTGAAGACGGGCTGTCCATTGGAAGCCATGCTCAGGACGCGATCTCCGATGGAGAGCTCGCCGAGCGGCTTCTGGACACCGCTCTCCAGCAGCGCCGTGCTCTCGGGAGTGAAGCAGCCATGAACATGGGAGCTGATGGAGGAATCTATAAGTACAGAAGAAAGAGGAAATGGTTAGAGATTGTGTGATTTATATTTACAAATTACAGTAGATTTCTATCTTTATTCTAGATCTTAAATGTTTCATTTTTCAATCTGGTAGAAGCAATATAATATAGGTTTTCCCTGATTTCAGATACTATATCCTTGCTTTGGTAAAGGCCGCCCAGGTAATGGCATTAGTTTGCTAATCTAATTTGGCGTTAAGCATCCAATTGCCAAACCCAACAAGTCAAAAAGGTTTTCACGGATCCGGGGCTGTGCGGTTGCAGCCCAAAGTGAAACAATGGGCGGCCCAAAAGGACTGAAAAGGACTGCCTTTTGCGGATAGCCAACAAGCCAGGAACATAATGCGATCGAAGATCCGAGATCGCAGATCAGCAATCTGGCATATCAATAACATGCGGCAGTCGTGTTTTTGTTTTTCGGCTTGCACAAAAACTGTGATCTTGTTTGCCCCGCAAGATTAGCCGTGGGATCAGTCCCGGTCCGAACTCCAGCTCGAGCTCGAGCCAAAGCGGCTTACCGAAGAAGGTTCCGAGGAGTTGAGCTGGCAAAAGGGGATGGTCCAGGTAGCAGTTCGTGTGGTTTGTTTTCCCAACCTTTTCCTTTTTTTTTTTTTGCAACCTGTTCGCAATTACCGAACATGCTGCAACCCACCATCGAACAATGATCAAAGTGCAGTCCTATTAATCATCATTAATTGGTATTGGGTTACAAGCAGCAGCTAGCGTGGCCACCCAGATGGTGGCTCTGGAAAACTCGAGCATGGACACCATCTTAGAACTTTCTCTAGCACACACATATATATTTCACACCCGAAGCGCCGCCGCCGCCGCTGTTGCTTCTCCTCCTGCCCTCCGCTGCTTGTAAAATTCAAATTAAAAATTCCAGACCAAAGGCGACCACTAACCGCGCGCTTTATTATAATGAGTGGCCATAAAGTGGCCTTGTTGTGGCGACTGCTGCCGCTGCTGCTGCCCCTGTTGCACCGAAATTCCAAAGAAAATGCACCTTCTCGAAATTCCCATTGATGCATTTGGTAAACACAGACTGGCGGACACACAAAAGTGTAGAAACAATAAAAATCGGATTAAATACATATGGCCAGTGCGGTCTATAAAACCCATAATCGATGGGGGAAGCGGTACCGAAGCCCCCGAAAGAACAGTAGACGAACGTCCAAAACTCAGGTGGGAGACAATAGGCGCGGGCAGGCAGGAGGAAGCGCGGTAGTAACAAGAAAAATTGGTGTGAAATCTACCTACCCAAAAACAGAGACACACAGAGAAGAACCAACCGGAGTCACAAAGGTAAAATAAAAAAGAAAAAACTACACAAAAAACGAGAGGGACACGAGAAACGAGAAAAATCTCAGGCCTCATCGTCGTCGTCGTCGTCGGCGGTGAGTGGAAAGTGAGGAACTTGAAGGGTCATAAATTAATAAACCATTAAAGTGGTTAAAATTATCGTTATTTTATCTTTGTTGTGAAGACTAAACTGATAAATTATTACAAAACAGAGGACAGCCGCAGCGGACCACTTGCTGTTGTTGTCTTGGTGACTGATCGTTTGGACAGCATTAACATGAACATGCAACAGCAACCAGCAACACACGCTTGGGGGCTTAATGCGCGCGCGCGCGCGACACACAACAGCAACAGCAACATTGGAGAGGAGAAAAAAAAATACAACAAAAAAAAATTAGTGTCGACAAAAAGGTTTACAGCCATTACTCTTCGTCGGTTGTTGTTGTTGTTGCTGCCGCTGTTGCTGCTGCTGCTGTTTAGGCCCGAAACGAAAGACTTAGGCAACGAACGCGGGGCAAAGCGAATGCTGTGCCAAAACTGTCATAAGCCCGTGGTTTATGTGCAGCGGTCTATCAGCAATCAATCGCTTGGTAATTTATTGATAGCCCGGCGGGCGCAACACCAAACACATGGTCCGAGGACCACACACATCGCAGGATGGACCGATGGACCGATGGACCGTTGCCCATGTCCTTTGCTGCTGCCACTTGTTCGCTTTGTCGGCTGACCTTTTCGATTTCTTTCGGGGTAGCGGAGAGGCACAGGATGACAGCAGGATCCCGAAGGATCAAAGTCGGATGCGGCTCCTTTCATAAGCAATTAGAATCAATGAGCAAGGACACTCGGTGCGGATCGGTTTAGTTTCGACTTCGTGTCCTTTTGTCCTGCCGTAATCTTTATGGGCCCGCCACCAAAAAGTCACAATATTGTGACTCGACTGCGTGTGTGGGAAAGGGGCGTGGCATGATGTAATTGTAGATGGAAATTAAATGAATAACTGACAGCAGTCGCACCCAAAAAAAAAAAAGTGCGAGACTCTTGTGTCTGTGTGGGAAATGCTCGCTGTTCTGGCCTTAAAACTTGAAAGGGAGTCCCTTTGCGCCGCCGCCGACGATGCCAAAGAAATGGCAGAGATAGCCGATTGGGAAGAGAAAGAGCAAAATCTTGGCAAGAAAAACTTAATTGTATTGGCCCGTTTTGGTTGGCTGACTGACTGGTACCGGGGGCCGAAAGCATTTTCTTCTCGGTCTTTGGGGCAGTTTCGTTATGTTTTCGTTATGTTTCAGGGAAAACTGGTTGCTGGCCATAATGGCAGCTCAAGCAGCCAGCCAAGCGGCCAGCTCACGGATACACACTCGCAAGCGGCCTTAACTGATGATGCTAACTTGCTGGCTGGCCGTTCGTTCGTTTTTTTTTTTTTTTCAATTAGGCCCGAGCTCGGGTCTTAGCCCGGCATTTAATTCATCTTTGCCTGTTGCCTGTTTTGCTGCCTGTTGGCTGCCTGTTTGCCTGAGAAACGCTTTGGGTGTCGTATCATCAATTCGTTTAATTTGACAGGCGCAAACCTAAACATGTCAAAACACAGCCAGCCAGTTGCCGCCTCTGGAGCCGGGTTTTTGGGTCCCATCCGAGTCCGGTTTTCGTCGACATTGTTGCCTGCGTCTCGGCCTTTTCTTAAGGCTTTCGACTGCAGCCGTGGCCAATTCGGTGGTTTGGTTGCAAAGTGCACGGGCGAGAGAGGTAGAAATTTGCCAACGCCTGTCAGCTTAGCAATTGCCAGTACGGGAACATGCGAAATTACGCTTGTTAGTGTCACTTCCAGCTAACTGACCAGGCCCACCCATCACCCAAGCACCTAGCACCCCATCCGCATCACATCATCCATTGGTTATAACTAACTTTCTGCAGTTTAACAAAGTTCAAAGTGCAGGGCTTTAAATTATACGTTTTTAGGGAAGAATCAAGAAGATTTTTAAAGATCTTCGAGTACTCTTAGTTTAACAATACCATAAAATAGAGCTAATTTTCTAGCAACTTTTAAAGTTTAATCTATAATTCACCTTATTAGTAATTAATTGATATTTTCCTCCTTTCTAATTAAACCTCTTTAGCTTCCCCAAGCCAAAATATTCTTACTTTCACTAAGAAATCATAATGATAAACCCCTTTCCCACAATTACTTAAGTGATTTGGACAATTACCTGACTTCACGGAGCAGTAGATGTGACGCCGGCTGACATAGGAGACCCAGTCGAAGCCCGCCTCCACGGCCAGGCGGGCCAACATGCCGTATTTGGCCTGATCCCGATCCGAGGTGGCAATGGTTACGGCTCGGCCCTCGTAGTGCAGCGATTCCTGGCCATGCTGGTTATCCTCATCCCAGCTCTCGGTGACCAGGAGACGGACGCCCGGCCACTCGTTCATCACGGAGTAGGCCAGCACATTCAGCTTCTCCTTGCAGCGCTGGAAGAAGAAAGAGGAACAGAACGGAGATGGGGTCAATTAGGTATTGTTAATAGCCAGACGCCATGTTTAATTCACGCAACACCACGCACCGTTCACGGTGGAGCGGGATGGATATACTGCTGTGCGAGTGTACGTGTGTGTTGGTGTGTGTGCGCATAAGGGGCGTGGCATGCGGGCGTTCATTTCGGTGGCCCAAAGGGCCCAAAGTAAACGCGTTCATTTCGTTTCGGTTCTTCGTTATGGTTTTGCTTCGAGAGAGAGAAGCCAAGGCAAGGTGTTTTATAACATTGATCAGATGTTGGTAATGATTGATATAGCTGGGAGTATATATATTCCTGATCAGTATCATAAAAATAAATCAATTAATTTATAAACAAAATATAATATAAATGAGAATTTTTTATTGAAGAAAACTGAGCAAAGTTGTATATCTTCTATACCTTACTCAAGGAAAACCGGTTCTTAGCACTCTTGAACTTGATCAAAATTGAACTACTTTCAGCAGAACTGAGATAAATGAGTTTAGGTAATAAGTTTAATAATAAGTTTAAAAAACTTGGCATATTATTTAACAAAATTTATTCATTTTATGTTAACTATAAATGTGTATAAACATCGTTTTCACTCTCTTGTATTTGTCCTATTTACTTAACCATTTTCCCCCAACCGTAGCCCCGTGAGTCTGCCTTTTTTTTTTTGATGTAGTCGAGGTGCTTTTTGGCTGAGGCCGCATCCTTTGAACCTGTTGCTGCAACAACCTCAACAAACACTGTGCGAGCGTGTTTGTCCAGTTCCCTTTTTGGCCAAAGGCTTATTTGCCCATGCTTACGCGCAGTTCAAACACTGACCCTACCTATATGGTGACCCTAACCCATGGATCATGGATAAATGCCGGGATCGAACCTTTTATTTTCTTCTCCCTTTATTTTCTTCTCCCTCTTTGTTTTTCCTGTCGATAATATGAAAATGCTTACGCTTTGTTTGCCGATGTGGTGGGTGCTCCTCTGCTCGCTTGTCGGCTCGTTTCCATTTGATTTTTTAGCTCTAGCCCGAGAGAAATGCCAGCCAAGCAGAAAAGGATTCGAACAAGTCTATGCAAATATTTGGTATACAAAATAACCAAAATGGAAAGAAAGAGAAAACCAAGACCAAGATCCATATAGTATCTTTTTTTTTTTTTTTTTTTGGATTGAGCTCGACACCGGCCGCAAAATCAATTATCAACGGGCAAGGCAACGTTGACAGGATGTTGCCTTTTTGTGTGCAAACAGAATTCGGCTGGCGTAAAATCAATTTTGCGGCCGAAAAGGTCCTTTTTAAGTAACCACAGCGATAGGTTCTGCCTCTTTGGGTTTATGTTTTGATGAGGTGTGGATCTGTATCGGAATCGGGGACTGACTGTGTTTGCTATTATTTTGGCCAAAAACAAACGCTCGAAATTTGTCACACACAGCATCCCAGTATCCGCAACTGTGGCAAATCGAGATCGTAGCGAGGTGGCAGTGGTAACAGCCGGCTTGCCGCATTCCGGGAAGAGTTCAATGATATTTGCTCGAACGCTGCAACTTTGCTTTATTAAAAGGCTTAACCAGTCGAGAGTCGAGAGCTGAGCCTGTGCTAATGAGCACAAAAGCGTAACGCCAAACAGCCAACGGCAAACAGAAACAGAAACAGAGATTGCCTCGGGATATGGCATAGGCATTGGCATGAAACTGGTTGGGGAAAGACAAACGCTTTTGTCTTAAGCACTGCCAACGATGTTTACCCAACATGCTAATGCATTGAGCTCGAATTCGAATCGATGCGCTGGACGCGCAATGAACAAACAACGGCCGGCTCAGATCTCGGATCTCCCAGGCAGATTCCCGATCCCATATCCCAGATCCCGGTACCCAGTTCTCAGATCCCAGATCCCGGTACCCAGTTCTCAGATCCCAGTTTCCAGTTCCCAGTTCCATGAGGAACGCCAACATTTGCCGACGGGTGCGTAAGGTAAACATTTACGTATACCAAATGCAGCGGCGTCGGCGGCCCAAAAAGATGGCTAAATAATGTGTGTGCCTTGTAAGTGGCCGTTAGACAACAGCGTCAAGTGTAAATAAGCCGGTGTATGGATTGGAAAAAACCAACTAGTTCCACTACCAATGCCCATGCCCCATGCCCCGTGCCCCGTGCCCCATCCCGTCGGCCCACAAAAGCTGCATTAATTAGACATTCAACAAGGTGTGAACTTTGCCCAGCCATTACCCCGAAATGGGGGGAAAAATCAGAGACAGAGATGCGGCCACGCCCCATTGTGTGTTTACCAAATGGCTGCATTTGATTTCCTACAGCTTTCCACCTCGGATCGTGGCTATTTCGGGGCTTTATTTTTTATTATTTTATTCAGCCATTCCGCTTGATGCGTTTTTAATTGCCACGACTGCAGTTTTATTGATTTAAATTGTCTGGCTGGCTGCCAATTTGACGCTTTTAATGGTCAGCTCGAAATTATTATGGCACGAAGATTATTAGGCACTCATCATCATTAGGCCAAGTCGGACTTGGCTATTAGCCGGCTCACCCAGAGTCCAGGTTCCGGGCTTTGTTTGTTTTTGGGCCCCTCCTTATGGCATTGCCCCATTCCATCTCCCTGGGACCTCGGAGAGGATCTCGGATTACTGGTGCCCCTCAGGAACACCGACGATTAGGAAACGACACAATTTAACGACATAATTCAAGTGCGCATTAAGTTACTTGCCAGGGGAGTCACCCCTTTTTTCTTCTTCTTCTTCTCTCCTTCAGATGCACGTGCTCTATGGTGTAAGCAGATATGGCATATCCTTTGATTCCCGGCACTGATTGCGATCGCAGAGGAAGCGAAAACTTACAACTGAGGAAGCGACACAGGATATATGCAGTCGAAGAGAAAAAAACAGTGAAGAAATCACGTCACCCACCCGATATAGCCATAGCCAGTATATATATACACACACACACACGATATGTGTGTCAACAGCCCCGATGGGATGGGGTTGCTCCAGGGTTCCAGGGTGAGCGGAGGATGAGGAGCCGAGGTGAACCACTTGAGAGGCCTTTGGCTCTTTTGGCAGCCACTTTGGTGGCAACGCCTCCGACATAAGAGATACGGATCGAGATCCGTCAGCGGTACGCCCTGTGTGGCCCACTCGAGTGCACAGATTTCCTCACTTAATTGGCAAACCAGGGAGGGGGCAGGGATCCCTGATCCCTGATGGATTCAAGTGCAGGGCCAATGCCAATACTCCTCCGTTCGCTCCATCACTGTTTATTTGGGTTGCAAATCTATTCACAGCTCTTCATTAGAATTAGCGGCGGTCTTTGATTTGTTTACGCTGCGCTGGCAGCGCAATTATTACAACGCAAAAATCAGAAATCAAAGTTTTTAATTAATCGGAAATGTGACTGTGTTTACGGAAACTGGAAAAGATTGGAATCCGAAGTCTGCTCCTGTCTGTTTGTTTTGTTTCGTATATAAATTATAAACGGGGTAAAACCTTTATTGGATTAATGGAGGTGAAGATGGAGTTGGAGATTGCTAATTGATTTGAAGCTAAAAATACATCATAAATATGATTTGAAAGCTCTTATCTTCTGCCATATTTATAGTAAAATATTATCCCCTAAATCGTTACAAAAAAACTAAGCATTTATTGGCATTTTGCAACGCATTACAGTTGCTCGTAAATCTCGCATCAAATAAATGCCCATAAAAGGGGAAGGCGTCATTTTATTGTTATTAATTAAATGCTATTAATTTGCAAAGAAATCGTAAATTAAATCTCAGCTGTGGCCTATTGCCTCACCTGCCCCGTCGTCTTGCCTGCCACTGCCGCATTTTAATGTCCCACCGGCGATCAGCAAAAGTCATTTGGAGGAGGCAGCAGGTAAGAGAGCTCAAGTTGGAGCTGGAGACCGGGTCTTAAATGATAAGCGCCATAATCCCTGATGTGTGATTAACTTTGATGATGAGTTATGAGCCGCACATTGGCACTGATGGACTCCGGGGTGAGGGTAAGGGTAAGGGTAAGGGTAAGGGTATGGAGTTGGGGTTTTGGGGTTCGGGGATCCAAACAACACACATACACACCAATGACTTGCAGGAATCAAGAGAGAGACGAGATGAGATGAGACGAGAGCCATGTGAAATGTGAGTCACTCGCCCAGCAGTAATGTGATAGCCGCGACGCGATCTCTGATCGCGATCTCCTCTGCCTCCGCGGCGCAAGTTCATAAAAGTTTTATGCAAATAAAGCAAACGCTAAGGAGGCAGAGGCAAGAGCCAGAGACAGACTCTGGGCGAATATCGATGGCATTTTTGGGCCAACAAATCCTTGAACATTCGCGCTTGAGTGCCCTCGTAAAAGTATCAAATTGATTAATAATAATATAAAAGCATCGCGCACAAAAGGCAAAACAAACATTTGCGACTGCGGATCCAGCAGGGACACTTCTCGTCTCTTGATTCTGGGATCTTGGATCTTGAATCTCAGATCTCTGGGGCATTTGTGCGATTTGTCCACTTTGCCTGACTGATGTTTGTTTGATAAGTTTGATTACTTTGTTGGCCGCAAGGAATGTTCCCACGAAAAAGGGGGCTGATGTTTTTGCTTATCGCAGCATTTGACGTGATTTGATTTGAATTTTGGCATTGGAGAAGCTGGAACCGTGACATCATCCATCCAGTCGCATCTGCCCCCGCTTTTTGTCATAATAGGATCAATTTTTGAGTCATAATGTTCTATTAAAATGCCTGAGCTGTGGGCTTACTTTGATTTGATTTGACTTGATTTGATGGTGATGTCGATGTGCATGTCTGGGGATGTGGGGACTTGAAAAACCAAAGACTGAGGACCGAAAGATTGAGAACTGAGAGCGGAGAACTGAGAACTGAGAACTGGGAACTGGCACTGGGACTGCATGCATGTCAATAATCATATCGGATTACCCATTGGCTTTGCCCTCAGCCCCATTGTTGCTACAATTTATGAAATTTTAGAACTTATGCTGCGGCTTTTGACGCATTCTTTTGTCCGTTTGTCCGCCGCTCCTTTGTCCGTCCGCTGCGGTTTCTGCCTCCGCCTGGCTGTCTAATCCCAAGGCATTCCCGGGTATTCAAAAGGCGTGCTCCCTTGGTCACATTACCTGTAATCACCTGGTAAAGGTGGCAATCAGCAAGCTCAGGCATTTTTCCAATTCGTTCGGTTATAAATATATATAGTTTTGGGACATTTGTGCAATTTGTTTATGCAACAGCAACTGAAACTGCAACTGCAACTGCAGTCAGGGACATGCAGTTAACTGACCATTTTCGAGCGTTTTAATGTCCAAAACGAATTGTTTACCAACAGAAATTCACGCACAGCGGACAGTAAGTCACTCGGCCAGAGATATATCCAAATAAAATGCGATTTAGTTGCGCTGCTGGTTACAGATTCCCCCGATCCTCCCTGTGAATTCTCTACGGAACGCTACTACTCAATGCTCAATGTCACCGCTGAATGGCCGGGGACTTCGGTAGCGAAAACAGTGCGTTGTAAATATTTGCCGGACAACAAACAGGATTTTTATGGGCCCGGTTGTCCTTGGTCATTTAGTCAAATGCCTGTAAGACCTTGGGCCAGGCTTTGACTCTCGTCCTTGGGCAGGACAATTGCCGGCCGGCTGCCGTGTAGTGCAACTGTTAATTGTTTTGCCAGTTTTTGGAAAGGCTGCGATACCGGGATACCCTGATTGCATATCAAATTCAAGGTGACCATTTAGTAGAGCCCTGATGGGCGCGTGGCAGTTGCAAAAAGGTAATTTGTAAGTGAAACTCTAGCTGCTGGCTTACAGCTGTTTTTTGAAAATGAATCATTTTCATGATTTGCACAAGTACAGTGGAGATTGAGATCTTTAACTATTTTCTGGAAAACGCTATAGTAAATAGATTATAAATCTATAAAGCGAAAGTCATTATATATACCCCGAGTGTTATATTATAATCCTAAATCAACTGTATTATTTGGTAGAGGCTCTCGTAATCATTCATCTGATAGTTCCTGATTACGGACCTCTTATTGCTCCAAATCGTGGCCAAGGAAACTGGAAGTCTTTCATAAACATTTAATAGCCCATGGTTTATGGGGGCTAATCAATAACAACGTTATTTTTAACACCTAGTCAGCACTTAAAATTTCATTAAAATAACAATATTTGTTTGCGATAAGCTAAGAAGTGTGCCTCAATGTCAGACCTCTTACGGGGTTCTGACTGTGCGCGGGGCTAACAAACACAGTTGGCTAATTGAAACTGCTGCTGTCGATGGAATTAAGCACTTGTGTTACCGCAGTTTTTGCACTTGGGGAAACTAAAACCACCCCAGAGAGTCGACACTTAGTACCACCCCTCTTCACTTTCACTGGTTGCTCCCCATGCAAAGCGATAAGATATTGCTATTCTTCGAATTAGCTGTCTTAACACACATTCATTGGGAGCAAATATACCCCACGTAGTGAGCAATACACTGAAAATCATTACGAGAACTTTCTTGGTAAAATATATACTAAAAAAATAGTTCAAATATATAATCAAGCTCATAAGTAGACAAGGTATATTTTTAAAGATTAAAGAGAAGTCAGCAGTTAAGGTTTCATTTTAATTTAGCAATTACAAAGTATTAAGAGGTATCAAAATTTGATTCTTAAGACCATTTTTTTCCTCTGTATATAATATGTACATATCGCAATGTTGGCAAACACAAGGCGTATCTTGTTCTACATATGTAGCTGGTGTGTATTGGCGAACTTACTACTAACTTGGCTGCAGGCCCGCTTATCAGACAAACGCCGGCGATAAGCGCAAAATGCTCGCGTGCCTCGCTTGGAGCGTAGACAGGTGGACGCAGGGGTTGGATGATGGTGGTATTGGAGTCCACTGGAGCTGGTAAACAGGCGAGGCACTTAATCCCCTCCAGCTCGATACTCTGTTTGTTGTTCAACGCGAAATTGAAAACGCATTTGTGCCATGTATTTGCGTTGATGATCCCCGGATCGATTGAAGCTCAAGCTCGAAGTGGGTTGAACGCACTCGTATTTGTTTTGGATTATATGTCCCGGTCAGCTTTATGGCTTAGTTCAATGGAATTCACTGCTATCTGTATTTTAGAACTCTTGGCTTTTGAGTATCAAGCTTCCTGTTATTTCGCACTGGCGAAATAAGTGCAGTCGGCCAAAGCCGATAAGATGCATAATTAATCATATAATGGCAGGATGGCCAAACAAATGCGATATTTAATGCCTGATTTTATTGCTCGCACCGAGAGTCCGGTTGCCGGAGTCCATAAAGATTCGAAAATAGTCAATGCGATTCGATGATTGGCATATTTCCGAACCCACACTCTGCCACGTACCTGTTATCAGTGGGCATCGAGTGGCGCAATCTCGGGCCATCGGGCGATCACTGATAGCATTTGCCGCCGCCTGCCAGCCTGTGATAAGCGTTCGCTAATTTGACAATTGAATTTGTGTTCATGGGGTGGCCAAAAGGTGAGGGCAGTGCCCAATGAGCCGGGAATTAGCCTAGCCCCGGAACGGAACCCAGCAGTCTATCTATCAGATTGGGAAGGGGACATAAATTTAGAGCTTTATGATGTGTGTAAGTCTGGTCAAAAAATGATTCACTTTACTGGTTAAGTTCCGATACGAAAATATAACTTCAAAGTTTTAATTTTAGAACCTTATATGAATTTCACATTCTTGCTTAATATCGATATAATTAATTCAAAGTATTTATATTCTCTTGACAACTATTTATACTAGTTCTACACAGTTTCCATCATTTGATATGTAAAGATTGATTCCTTATTTCACCACTAATATCTTTATTATTTCCCAACATGACTGTGCTAGACAGCATATTATTTTTCCAACAGTAACTAAGAGATATGGTTGGAATTTGAACTGCAAAATAATGGTCATTCCATAGCCCATGAACACTTTAGTCATTTTCATGTTAAAAGTCAGACTAAGAACTGATATTTATGGGCAAAAAAATTAAATATTTGTGTCACCGATAAAAAAGAAAACACTTGAAATGAAGACATGCCGAATTGATGATCAATTGCTGGGACACTGATTAAATGCTTTGTAACTCACCTTGCTCATCAAGCGATCCGCACCGGTGCCCTCCTCATCGCGGAACAGTATATCCCGATTGTAGTTTGGCACCAGATCCTTAAACTTGGGCGAATCCCGCCGGATCTCACCCTCGAGAGGCCCAGAGGCACCATTCTGATACTCGGAGAGATTGGGAATGGTCTGTTTCAGCACCAGCGGGTAGAGGTTACGCTCCCGGCGACGTCCCAATCCCCGGCCAGGACCACAGCTGTGGGCTGGAGTGAAGCTCAGCGGCAGAACGAGGAGCAGGACGGCCAGCAGAGTGGTCAGCCTGCTGGCGCAACGCTGCGTATGCGCAATGTGGCGCATATTTTGCGATTCGGGAGCCGGGAAGCTACTGCTGCTGCTGCTGCTGCTGCTGGAACTGGAGTCGGAGCTGGAACTGTGGCATTTGGCGTCTAGCGAGAGACAGGTGACACTGGCGGCACTGGCCCAAGGCACACAGTCGCTGTTATCCATGATTGATATGTGTTTGGATTTGGATTTTAATGGGATTGGCTTGAATTGGGTTTCGCTTTTGCTGTTTGCTGTTTCTCTCGCTTGATTTTCTATTTGGTTATTTAGCACTTCACTTTTGGCACACTGCGAGACACTGCGGCACGAGGCTTTTATTATCGATTCTTCATCTGCGGCACGGTACGGAGACGGAGACTCAACTGAACTCAAGTCTCAACAGCTAGCTCTCGGAACAACCGTTGCGCTCGCACAGTGATTGACAAATGACATTTCCGAGCGGAGTATCTGTGAGTACGAGTACGAGTGCGGATACGAAAAGGCGCACGAAGGCAACGAGTGCGGCAACGAGAGGGTGCCCTGCTAGGCCTCTGCTCACGCACACTCGTTTGCGCCGAGTTCACTCCCGCTGCGTCTGTGTGAGTGGCGGGCTTCATTGGTATTTCAGTGATCGCTTCGGGTGTTCATTTTATGTTCATTTATGCTGCTCGTGTGAGAGAGCGGGACAACCGTACAACCAAGCAGACACACACACACACACTCTCGAATACTGGGAGACCTGTATGGGTGTCTTCGGGTATCTTTGAGTTTGCTATGTACTCCTCGCATCCACCAGATGTTGAGATGGTTTTGTATGATGATGTATCCATGATGTTGCGATGCCAATTGGATGCGCTGGTGTGTGTGTGTGTGTGTTGGCCAAGAGGCATCCTCGACTGCAATTTCTCTTAACACTTGCACTACTCGACTCTTGTGGCTTGTTAGCCGCTCCTGTCCCTGCTCCTCCTGCTGCTGCCGTTGCCTTCCTCCGCTCATTGTTCACTTTTTTCCGTTGCCTTTCTTCGGTTTTGTTGTTCGTTTCGCTTTATTGCTTGTAAATTAATAATGTTCCGGTTTTTTGTGTATTGTGCGGCTCCTTGGCAGCCGTACATAAGCCACCTTTACCACAGATATATGTATATATACATGGTATGTGGAGTATATAGGTTCCAGATCGGCCTGTATTACAACATTTTGCGGCCAACTTCCGTTTGAGAAGTTTCTGGAGGAGTCTGGTGGGTCAGGGACTCCCCCCAGTGGAATCCACTGGTATTTCCAGCTTTAAAGCTAGTGTTATATGACTGCACTCACATTATTTAATGACTCATTAAGTTCGCACTCGGAAGTCGGCTAAATATTGGCAATCTTAAGATTAGATATCGCCACAGGATGTGCGAATTATTGTTGCAATCAAACCAGCGTCGCAATCAGATCCAATTGGCGCTGCGTAAATACCCTTTAATACTTATAATATATATATTTTTATATTGACAGATGAGGGCAGCGAGTCGATAACGATTTGGGTAAACACAAATTTGCAATTATCTTATATTTAGGCCCTGCAAATACTAAGTGACTTGCGACTGATGGCCAGCTCCCGAGAAATTCCCCGCTTTTATTTGTATTTATTTTTGGATACACATAAACTCAAAGTCGGCATTAATTGCAATATGAAATGGCTTATGACTTAACTACCTACCTAATTAGTTGAAGCTTTAGTCAATGCACTGACTAATAATTTAGAAATCTAATATATTATTGACATTAATTACTATTTTTAAGTTGTTGTTTGGACACACTTATAAACTATGAAGATTCAATGGCAGTGACTTAACTGTGCCTTAACTTTACTTAGCTTGGAATAGGTTTTAGTGTCTTACTTTGCCATCAATCGAGTATATGTATTTACATTATATTTTTTCCCAAGTAACCTTGGCTATGTTTACTTTGGCTAATACTGAGTTCGCCAGAATTGCTATCTGCGGTTGGGCTTTTCGCACTTTTTGAACTTGGCTCGAAGACTTTGGCCGGGTTTTGGATTGTGGTGCTGGTGGGACCACCACCCCGATTGGCTTTTGTTTTGGCCAATAGATCATTTTTTTGCGGTTGCACTTGGCCCGCTGGATGTTGACACTGTCACTTGGCAAGTGCGAATTGTAGAACACGCTCGTCTTGTGTGCCCAAGAAATTGTCACCTGTGGATTGGGAAGAACAAAGGGCTGCTGGCCCATAGTGCACCTGCTGCCTCATATATATATGTATATACAGACATATAACGGCATCCAATAAAATAGCCAGCTCTTTTTTTTTTTGGTAACGCACAGGAATGCAAAGCGTAGCATAATTTCAACAACAACAACATTAAGAAAAGAATGAACATTAAGAGGAGAAATACAAAAAGAAATACATCCAATAGCTCCTCTTTGGCGGCAAGATATAAGAAAAGGCAAAACGCCATCAACGAGATACACGGAACCAAATTAAAGATGAAGAAGCTGGAGAGGGGGCCGCCTCGGGAGGGGTGGGATGCTATGGATGGGAAGCCGAGCCAAGCCAGACCAGCATCCAATATCCAGCATCCAACATCCAACATCCTCTGCAGATGTGTGCGAGCGAGTCTATGTGGCTGCCACATAAATTTCTTGGCTTCATTGTGTGCGGGGCAGCAACTCATTACGTTGCCTCTGCCACTCTGCCTCTGGTTGTATCTGCGCGTATCTGTGTATCTGTGTGGGGCGGAGCTGCTTAAGGCGCTCATTTGTGAATGAACACGCCGTGAACAAGGCAGATACGAAGAGACCATCCCGAGACCAGACAACAATCGCTCCGGCACTTAATGAGCATGAATAAATGGCATCGCATCGCATCGCATCGACGTTGCCGCGGCGGGAACGAGACGGCGAGCGGGCATCATAATCACGATCATATAGATCGCGCTCTTGGCCAAAAACAAAAACAAAAAAAAACCTTAAAAACAAAAAAGAAGAAACAAAAAGCGTATAACAAAAAAACCACTAAATAAATAAGCCAACACTGGCGAGTCCCTTCGAGATAAAGAGCCGCAGATTAGTTTCTGTAATTAGATTTGGTCCAGCATTGATTTATGTGAATATTGATGGGACGACAGTTATAAACCGAAATTGAATTTTAATGGCAACCTGTAAATGCTGCACAGAAACTAATTTTAGGGTATTGATTTTGTTATTTAACTTATGGTTTATATGTTATGTTAAAGATACCTTTAGACCTTTAAACCTGTTTTGGTTTTAAAAAATTACAACCGATTGATTTAATTATTTTAAAAAAACTAACTTTTTGTACAACCTCATAGTAAATGGTGTAAAACATTACCCTATAAGGCAGCTTGTTTAATATAAAAAAATAACAAAGTTAACAATATATAAATGTTTCAAAAATATGGTCATTTTATAGTCAAGTCTCATAAAAATTTGCAGAGATTTTAAGTCTTAAAAAAATTTAACCAAAGTATACAATAAAAGTTTTTAAATATATTTTTATAATTGATAATGGAATATTAATCATATTTAATCATTATTTAAACTACTTACTTCCAATTTAATTAATCCTTAATTTCCTTTTAAAACGATCTCCATCTTTAATATTATTTTTTCATCTCAGAAGATAAAATTAGTAAACCATCTTTCACCCTTTCAAGGTATTTTAATTTTAGTCAGAAGCTTGTAACACTATGAAGAAGTCACTTCCAACTCTATATATTATATATAGTCTTGATCAACATCAAAAGAAGAGACGATCTAGCCATGTCCGAAAGAAAAATAAATTTTCAATGTTTTTTCTAAACTTGATAATTTTATAAGGGGTTACATCGTTACAATTTTCGAAAATTGAAAACATAAATTGATTTTCTTTAAATTGTAAATTGAGTATGCAGATTTATTAACCTAATCAAAATTAGCACAGAAAGCTTTTCCGATTTGAAATTAATGCATTTATAAGTTATATGCATAACTTAGCTAAGTTATGATATTTAAATAATATGAGTTAATTCAAGTTATGATCGATTTCCCGATTCGATTCTATAATTCTACTGCTTACTGTAAACTTCGAATAATATAAATTATTTACTTCTTCCATTGCCACCAAAATAGTGGAACCGGAAATGCTCGATCCATTCGCTGGCCACAGATCCAATACTCCTCTTAGCCAGCTCAGCTATGTGCGACTCAGCATCCATGGACAGATGCCAAAGAGCAGATGGAACGCCATTTTCTGTGCGCCATGGCGCGTCCGTATCCAACGGCGTCTCCGTCTGCTTTTAATTTCTTTTAATGGAAGTTGTTAACATGGCTGCTGCTGCTGCTGCTCCCGCCTCGTCCGGCTCCTCTCCCCTCTCCGGTCCCTTTTCCCTCTCCAGTTAGCCGCTCCTCCCCTTGAGTCCAGTTTTAAGGTTGGATCCCACCATTCCCACCAACGCCATGGGTTGCGGCTGATTTGCTCTTTTTGTTTCTCTTACTTTTTCGTTGGTGTTTCGATCATAAAATTTCGATATGAAACTTGAATTTTTGTTTCTTTTTATACACTTACAGAGGCTTGGGGTATGTGGCTTAAGCCATAAGGTTGGGAGAGACGAAAAAAAGGGTTAATTTTAATATTAAATCGGGAAGTTTTTTACTTTACAGTTGAGTTATTTAACAGTATCTGTTATCTTTAACATTTGAAACATTTAATAATAAATCGAACAATTATTTTATTAAGGAGATTCTCGAGTTCCTTAAACTAACATTTTTATTAAAACAAAATATAGAGCATCTGATGTTCATAGTCATTTGAGATTCCTCAACTATGCCGCTCTCGCTTGGGGTTCATTGAATTTTTCAAAGTGCTTTATGGCCACTGGAGCTAGCTGGCAAGTTTGTTGCCAAAGTCTTTTGTTTTGGCCTGCACAAGTATGGTCGCTGGCATTAGAAAGAGAATCATAATTAACAAATAATGGCCATAACGCGTGCTTTGGCCTGCCGCACCGGTTTGCTTAACTTATAGCGAAGGTCACGCGGTAATTTAATAACAGCTACTAACTAATATTTACGAGAATATTTATATTGTTTATGGCCCGCTTTCGACGACGACGACAGAGTCAAAGGGGTTCGTTCGTATACCAACACCAATCCCGACCAGAGTTCCCATATGAAGCCAAATGCCGATTTGGGTTTGATTCCAAGAAGCAGGCACTCAATCATGCTGCGCATTGTGGCCCTCTTGTTGTGACTGCGGGCCACATAGCGTGCGACAAATGCCACTAACGGTTTGAGGTCTCTAATGGATGTTGACATTTACGGCTACCAGGGATTTGGACGTGGATGTGGATGTGGATGTGGATGTGGCCCTACCGGGGCGTGGAGATGGCTGTTTAATTCACATAAATCTAAGTGAAATGCCATTGGGGAATTGCTGCTGAGATAGAAATTAGGCAAATGGATGGATGTATCTCCGGTATTCCAGAGAATTTGCTACCACAGACGGCCAGGAACAAAGGCAGGAACAGAGGACTGAATGGGAATGGGAATGGGAATGGGCATGTACATGGACATGGACCCAGGAGTAAAGGGGAAGGCGTGCAGAGACTGCAGGGGCCAAGGGCCTGTAACATAAACATTCCCAGTCATAGTCACACAGGAATAAAAAGGGTCTCACCTCTCTGCTGTGTGTGTGTGTACAAGCATTTGTCAACTGGCCTCCTTTTGATCCTGGCCGGCACGAGAGTCAAAAAGTCGTAAGCGGCGCAGTTATCATTGTGCAGTGTGGCCCATTGTGCTATCAGCTGGCTGCGATCGATGCGGTTTAAACAGCAGTCAGAGAGATCCCGGTGAGTAAGCAGGAGAACCTAACCCAACCTGGCCAATGGCCACATGCGGTGCATATTTGGCCAACAGTTTTTGCACGAGACAAAACCACAAAAATGCAGTCGAATGCTGTTCCAGCCGAATCAGTACACAAATCAAATTTCGATAGATATGGAAACATATGTCTTTGAATTACTGGAAAAAGGCAATTACATTTACCTTTGATGTACTTGGAGAATTCCAAGAACTACCTCAGAGGCATATG